TGACCTAGAGGTAGAAGCCTGATCAACCTTTCTCCTATAAACATCTAAGCACTCCTGCTCTAGCTGAAGTAACATCTTGTCGCGATCTTCATCGCTTTCACCAACCTCATCCCATATCAGCTGAAATAACACATATCAGTCACTTGTTGATCCTACTACTCTTAGAAATGCTATCTTAACTCTTAATGTAGATAATGGGTTAGAATGGTTTTATGTTACTACTGTTCCAAGGCACAGCTCTTAAAAGAATAAATAGAAGGAAAATACTTTTTTTTTACTTGAATATGAACTATCCCAAAACTAGCAAAGCACCTGAAGTTGCTGCAGCAAAGACCCACATGTTGTTTCACCTAACAATGGATCATTGTGACCTGCCACTCCCATTTTCGCTCAGCAATCTGCATGGACAAAGATAACGATTATTTACATTTGCAATTATTTAGGGTGAATCTCAGTATGTATATCGTGGCTCATGACGTATTTTTCACAACGTACAAGGCAGAAAAACTACACACCCAAGTAGATCCGTTTCCCAATAAGGAGTTTGAAACTGAAATATTTATTATTATTGCAGACAGTATGGTGCATTTATTCAGAACATTAAACCCAGAAAAAAATTATGGCTGCTGGATATATTCTAGTTTTTTATACAGTAAACACTATTAAACCTACTCAATACTGTTTGGGCATGATTTATTGAAGTGGCAATTGTTTATTCAGGGTGGTGAGGCACTCGTACTACATTAAAGATTTAGCATGCAACCTCAATAACTTCGGCAGCTAATTTAAACCAAAAAGTAAATCTATAAACATAATTAGCAATACTATACCATCGACAGGACACCCTAAAACCCAACAATGCATTACACCTTTATAATTAGCCAAGAAATGATAAGAAAACTTGTATATATCTGACAAACATAAAATGAGTAAATCCACATACAGATGTCAACACCTAATAATACTCCATTTTATCGCTTTCGCCTATAAGCGACAAAAAAGAACAAAAACATACAACAAGCTCATATCCTGTTCTGCTGAATCATCATTCGACATCCTGGTAGGATGCTGGCGACATTCACCGACCCTGCCCTCCGAAGGGGAAAGAAAGGAAACAGAAAGAGTGCAACGTATATTGCATCGTGCTATCCCTTCATCCACGTTGGCCACCATGTCTGAGATGAGGTGTGGTAGCGGTGTAGGGCAAAGCAGAGTGCAACGTAATATGGCCGAAGAGAGATTGGGTTGTGTTGCTGATTTAGAAAAGGACGAACCCATTTGGAATCAGACTAATGCAACCCACTCCAAGCCAGACCAAACAGCTACTTCCTAGAATCCAAAGTAAAGAAAAATTGCTTGATGCTTGCTAGCATCAAGCTAGAACAAGCCCAATTGAAAAAATCAAACCGTTAAAACCATTTGAGCACAAAGGCTAATTAGGCAAAGGCAAGGAGATGGTTCCACCCCACTCTCTAAAAACCTACCCTAGTTCTTCATCTCTTCGTATTGTATCCCCTGCTTGGGTATGTTTCTAACAATACATACTTTTGTGGATAACTTATCATGAAAACGTTTAACAATCACAATTTTGAACATGTTTTTATGCATAAATTCTCACGGATAAACTTATCATAAGACTTACAGACACCACTTATACAAATAAACTCACAAACGTAAGTTTTTGTTGTTTTTAGCATGTTTTGGAAAAACTTACTTAGCACAACTTTTACATATTTTTACGGCATGGACCTCTCAACATAAAAAATGTTTATAACATGTAGAAGCAAACACATGTAGGATAAATATGAAAAAGGGAAAAGAAAATGAACAAGAAGGGACTAAAAAGCAAAGTGAAAAAAACAAATAAGGAAAAAAGAAAAAAAAAACTTTAATTAGGATTTTCCCTTTATCTTTAAATAGGAAATTTTTAATTAAAAAGCTAAGAAACTTTAATTACGAAAAACAAAGGAAAAAGGAAATGAACAAGAAGGGATTCAAACGCAAATGAATGATTTTGACATACGTCCGTAATGGATCCCCTCTCCAAATCATTCATTCGGAGTGAGTTCTCATCAATTTCGATTTACGGTTGCTTAAGGTTGCTTTGAGAATTGAGTCTATGCCACATTCACGATTTCAAAAATATTTGTTCATTGGTTGGCGGGATCAGTGCCCTGTTCGCTTCTCTGATAAGCCATGGCTGAAAGTACTGTTGACTGATTTGTTATGAGAGAAAAATAATGTTCGTTGGTTAAAAAAGTACGGCTTATAAGCGAAGCGAATAGTGCGCAGGTCCCCAATGACTTAGCCTCATCTGCTACCTTCTCCACTTTGTCCTTTGCTTGCCGAGAAAGGAGGGGGAGTTGGATATAAGAGTTGCAATAGAACAATGGACTCGCATCGGAGTTGTAAGTTAGCTTTGATGGATTAATTCATAACATGGTTAGGGAACTAACATATTTGATGAGATGATATACAGGTGTTTAGGCCCAGGTTAAGTTGGATACGATTGGACCCATATTAAAGTAGGAGTAAATGTCATGTAAATGAGACATATGTCCAAAATCAATTGAGAAAATGCAAGAATAACAAGTACTAGTAAAAATGATGAAAGGGACATGGGCATTATGGGCCTTGGACGTTGGACCAAAGGCAGCCAAGGAGGAGCTCAGGAGCGGCGGTGGATGCACACTACCAGTAGGTACGGACGTACGGTGGCGCTAGACCACGGTACAAGGGAAGGATCCTGGCACGTCGGGATGCCCTCAACCTCAATCCGATGGTCCATCAGCCGCGTTGATTCCGCACTCCCGGCCCCTTTCGGCTTTGGTGTACCGCCCCGCCAGCTGCTACCTTTTGTTTGGGCTTGCATGACTAATAAGTAATGGCCGACAGTACTGTTGGCTGATTTGATGTGAGAGAAAAATATTGTTCATTGACTGAAAAAGTACGGCTTATAAGCTAAACAAGCCCAAACAAACAGGCTACATGCTTCTCGTACACAGAGGGAGTTATAAGATAGTGAAAAACTATCAGAATTGATAGGAAGCGGGTGTCTACTTTGATTTATCGAACATAGCGTAGCCGGGTCCGAACGGCCCAACAGTTTTCCGTCTTTATCCATAGGTCCTTATCAGTTATTCTCCCCAATCTCTCAGACTTCCATCTGATTTTTTTTTTCTTACAGTTCGCTCAGCGCTGCCCATAAGTTCCTGTGTCGTCGCCGTTGGCCGTCCGACCGGCACCGGCCGCTTTCTCCACTGCGGCCGCTCGCTGACTGCTCCTCTCCACCACGCCCCTCACCAGCTTAGCTCCCTCTCCGGCGACAGCTCTCGCCTGAATGGTGAGCAAGCAGCATTCTCTCTCTCTCTCTCCGCACGTGCGCTCTTCCACCTTTCTCCATTGGCAAGTCGGCATATTACAAGCCCATATGTTGCAGCTATCCTTGTGCTCCAAGCCAGACATCTTGTGTTGCTCAGGGAGGCCTAGATCCACAACCTCCTCTTTGGATCTAGGACTACAGTTTCTCAACATATGGTTTTTGGGATATTGTATTTGTTGTTTTCTATGTTGTATCAGAAGATTTCTCATGTTTCCACAATAATTTCAAATGTTTCAGTAGATGGTTGCTCACTTTGTTGTAATAAAACTAGCATGTTGCATTTTATGAATGTTCGGTGTTGCATTAGGTGATGATTTCTTGGTGTTGCAGTAAGCAATGATTTTCTCATGTTGGTTAGAGATGTTGCATCTGCTTTATTTTGATATTCCAGTAGCTGGCTATTGGATATTGCATTTTGTTGGTTTTCCATGTTGCAGTAAACAAAATGAGATGTTACAATAAATCATTTATCATGTTGCAGCAATAAAACTGAGATGCAGTAACAGGTTATTTTGCCTATTGATTAACCATTTTTCTGTTGTTCCTAAGTGTAGCTTTCTATTGTTGAGATTGAATCGTTTTGACGTTGCAAACATGGTCTTTTTTCTCCTATATGTTGCAACATGTGCTTTTGAGATGTTCTAATAGCAACTCATGAATGTTGTGGTTAATGTCTTGATTTGTTTCGAAAATCTTTTAAATGAAACATGTTGTGAGGAGATAGAAACTAATAATTTTGCTCTTATCTCTGGCTTCTATGAGACTTGAACTTATGAGCCTGGCTAATCATGTGGTACAGTGTTTTCTCCCACAACAAATTAGTCAATAGTATTTTTCAGCCTGGCTTTCAGCGAAACAAATAGGGCTTTATCGTTTGTTGTTGCAGTACAAATATTTATTTATCCCCCTCTTTTTCTTGTGGTCTCTGTCATGTGCCGGATGTGTGCAGCAGGCACATGGCATACGAGAACCTAACCCCGCGGTAGACGTCGCTCGAGCTCTCCTCGGGTCCATCGGTCGCAGCAAGGGATGGGGGCGCAGGGTGCAGCAAGGGACCAGCGGCGGATCGAGGGAAAAATTTAGGGGGCTGAATAAAAGTGCAACAGCAATATACCTCTGACTGCTGTTTGATCTTTAATCTCAGCTCCACCTACACGATAGAACGGGGGCTCCAGGGCTCTGGTATCGGTAGGGGTGGCTCGAGCACCCCCCCCGCGTTGAACCCGCGCCTGCAAGGGACAGAGCACAGCGTCGCGCCGCATGCTCCGGTTGCGGAGGAAGTTGCGTGGCAAGGTGCGGTGTGCGGCGTCGCGCTGCACTCTCCTGTTGTGGTGGAAGTCGTGTAATATGATGGTGCTCGAACGATGACCGAGAGCTACCTTCGGACGTCAGCCAAGTGCCGGACCCAGACGTCCGGATGCTAGCAGCGCCGAAAAACTATCTAAAAGGGTTTTAAATTTGCCCGGTCCTTCTTTTGTCAAACAAAGTGTACCATCTTACAGTCACGATGAGGGATGAGGACATCGTAATCTTCAATTTGTATTTCTGTACCACTGATCACTGCTGACCACTTTGGTGGATGCAGGTGATCTGGGTTTATTCATGATTCATGACCGGATCAGCAAGCTCTTGGGGCGAAGCCGACGACCTTCTTGCCGAGGTCGTACAGCACGCTGTACGTCTTCTGCTGCGTGTTCCCGACGATGGTCACGTCGGTGTCGTCGTCGTTGGCCGCAAACGCCAGGCACGCCTGCGACACGTCCACCACGTACAGGATCCCCGACGCGTCCACGTCCAGGCACGCGCCGCCCTGGAACACCAGCGACACCGCGGGCAGCACGATGCTCCCCCCCTGGTACCCCGTCAGGTCGTAGCAGGTGTCCAGGATCGAGAACGCCGGGGCCGTCTTGTATCCCAGGCCCTCCATGCCCTTGGCGAACGCCGACCGCAGCGGCTCGTACGCCGACGGCGGCAGCCGCGTGATCACCGTGCCGGAGTCCACCAGCGCGCCGGCGTCGGAGAAGACGGTGCCCGGGATGGACAGCAGGTGCCCGCCCACCTTGATGCCCGTCATCCCCACGTAGTAGAACGTCGGCCCGTTGTCCACCAGCATCGGCGTCAGGCGCGCGTTCGCCGCCGCCGGCGCGCCCGGCCCGAAGTCCAGGAACCCCGTCCCGGCCGACGTCGCCGGGATGCAGTACGCGAACACGCCGCTGTACTTGTCGTACGCCTGCACCGGCAGCGATGTGCTGCCGCGGCCGAGGCCCATCAGCCCCGCCGATTTCCCGAACAGCCCGCGGTTCTTCTCGCCGCACCCGAACCGGAAGTCCTGCATGTACAGTACAGTGCACGCACACGTGTCATCTGTCAGGACATGCCATGGCGAGGCCCATCATCAGTCACGTACGTACCTTGACGGTGTCGTAGCCCAGGGTGAGCGTGTCCTGGGCGTAGAAGCCGACGGTGTAGGAGCCGTCGCCGTACTGGACGGCGTAGAGGCAGTGGCCGCCGGAGCAGCCGCTGCTGTCGAGGTCGGAGCAGTAGGACGACGTGCAAGAGATGTTGGCGTAGGTGGTGGACTTGGTGGGGTTGAAGAGGGGCTCCTTCTGCCGGTAGCAGTAGGCCACGCACGGCTGGCACTGCACCCACGTCGTGTCGCTGCCGGTGTCGAACACCACCGTGAACCGCGCCGCCGGCGTGCCGAGGCGGATGGGCACCACGTAGTTGCCCGTGTTCAGCGCGCGCCCGGACGACGCCGGCAGGTTCGTCGACGTGGCGGAGGACGACAGCGACGACGCGGGGGTCGACGACGACGGCGTGCCGGGCGGGAGCTCCACTGGTGCGCTTTGCTTCTGCCGCCTCATCCGCCCGGTGGTATCGGACACACGGCGATGGATGTACTCGACGCGGCGCTGGTCCGCGACGAGGATCTCCGTGTGGGACGGCGCCTTCTTCCCGTGCTTGTCGGCCAGCGGCGAGCACGGGCCGTGCTGGTGCACGATGGGCATCCTCGTGGCCGTCGCAGCCCCAGGCCTTTGTTCTGAATTTCAGGTACAGATGTTCGTTCGGTTCGATTTGAGATGATCGTCAGAAACAAGTTCAGAACTTTCACTTGCAATTACAGATTAATTTAGAAACCGTACTTGTTTAGAAAATTTTAAATCTTTGAGTGAACAGTTTAGAAAACTTCGCAATTTATGCAGTGGAAAAAATCGGTTTTATTGGAGAAACGGTACTGAAGAAAACAAGCACATCATTTTCAGACATGAAACGTGTTTTTGTATCTAGTGGCTGGTTATTATCATTCTCTGTATGGGCTTAGCATGTTAGCCATTGCTTTAGCTTCTAGCTGGCCATTTCGACAAGGACAGCAGACAATTCTGTTACAGCACAAGGTCATTCACCCAGTACGTAGAATGATCAAAATAGAATGCTTTGACACTGAACTTCTACAGTTACATGAAGCTGCTGTTTAACTTGGGTTGTTAAATTTTTTTTGGGGGTCATTTTACTTCTTTCACTTAAATGTTTCTCCAGTTTGCACTATTGCCCGTCCCTATCGTACCTAGAAACTTGTTTTTTTTTAAAAAAAAAAAGAGAGAGGAGGAAAAACATACTCTCTTGTTTTCTCTTATGAGTGCTAGATATTTGAGGATCATATAAGAGCTGAACAGATAAGTTACGCGCATAGCTCCAGATTCTTCATGCTGGATCGCCTGCTGAGCTAAGTTGCATTGGAGAACAATTTAATCACAAGTTCGACGGACAAACTTTTTCTTCTAGTTCATGTGCCTTACTTCTTCCAATTATGCTACTGAACTCTCTGTTCTTTTTTTTTTTGTTGAGTAAACTCAATTCAGATTTCATAGTACACATCTTTGTATGCAAATTCATCACGACTTCTTACATAGAACTGACACAAAGGAAACGAATTGTACTAATTAAAATACGAACCAAAAGAAAAGAATTTGTTCGTGTGAATGGGAAGAAGACATATTCCATGCATGAGATGCAGCAGGAATACACGCGCACGCATGGCCCAATCAGTGACGAGCAAAGCAGACTGACCTTGTGGCGTGGGGCAAGACGCGGCTGCTGCGGAAGGGAGCAGCGACTCCACGTCCAGCTGCACAAGCACAAGGGAAGCGCCCTCTGCACCAAGAGCACCCGCGGCAGCAAGCAGCATGAGCAGGGGGAGCAGCCAGCAGCCATGGCAGCAGGGCGCAGCCATGGCGCTACCGGCCTAATAGCTAGTGGTTGTGAGTGTTGAGTGGAGCTACCAGCTCGGCGAGCTGCACCTGCCACGTCTTGTTATCGTCTGCGTGTATATATAGGCCTAGGCCCTGCCGCCGGGGCTTGAGAGATGAATCGTGTAGTGCAGCGCAGTAGCTGGTTGGTCTATTTTGGAGTGCTCGGTGCTCCTGCTGCAGACCTGCAGTGTCCTCCTCCTTCAGTCAGGGCTGCCGGCTTGTGCAGGGCAGATCGATCGGTTTTGCAAGACAGATCGATACAACTTTTATCTTTCGAAAAGCAAGACAGATACAATGCAACTGAAACAAATTGATCGGCCGACGGCCGGCCTGTACGTGTTTTCAGTGTGCTGCTAGCGGTGCCGGTCCTACGATTTTAAGGGCCTTAGGATGTCGTCGCAACAGCATCTCTTGACCATATATAAAATTTTATAATATATTGGTACTAATTTTACTTGCAAAATGAAAGCAAATTCAATAATATATTTTTAATTTAACATGTCTGATAATTATCGAGGAACAATATAGATTAAGCAATATGTTTATAAATGTATGATAATTATCGAGGAACAATGTAGATTAAAAAAGCAATATATTCGTTTTCTTTTCTCACCCATGACAAATGTTTATTAGGTAATATTTTAAAATTCTAATACCTAAATTAGAAGAAAAATATGACTATAGAAGTACAAAGTACTGGAAATCTGAAATATTATATAAATAATTAATTTGGATTAAAAATAAAAAGAAAAAAAATACCTTGGACCTAAACAACTGATCGGCAGTGGCTGCTAGCTCATCCCTGATCCGGCCGAGAAGGATGAGAGCGATTCAGGTATCTCCATTTTGTTCAGGTGTGGCAGCCGTGTGGACTTGTCTATTCAGGCTGTTTCCTTGGCAGATATGGCACTCTGCGTTTGTGATAACTGCAGAGGAATAGGAGCACTGCTGCTAATTAACAGGTTAATGGCCATCGAAAAAAAATGCTTCTGTGTTTTTAATTTACATGCCCACTTGGCCATTTTATATTTTTCATACCACTGATGCTTCATTCCCAATTCCCATCACCTCTTTTTGAATGCAAACACGGCAAGTTGATTAAGCGTGCACATTAGCACGTAAACTTCACTGTCCATGGACGTCCCTTTCGCGCAAGGACCTGCCGCATCGTCATTTGGATAGACAGCACAAACAACGAACTTGATGATGGTACACATTATTTCTGCCCATGCATGCATTTTATTTGGAGCGAGCCTATCCACAGCAGCTTCATACTGGATAATTAATTTCAATTTCCCTGCGTTCCAGCAAAAAGGCTGTGTGATTCTCGAGTAATGCTGTAGGTTTCATACTGGACTCACTGCAAGTGCGTGGATAATTCATTTGAGTAAGTTTGGCACAACTTCGGTCGGACTTTATTGCAACTAACGGTTTTGATCGACCACACGGTGCTTCTATATTTTGTACAAGGAACAGAGATGCTCTGCCAATTTGATGTTTTACGGGCAAAGTACAAAATAGCCGCCGTAGCGGCCCATTGCCGCTACTGCTACCAGATTGCGCTATAAAGTTTGCGGCGTGGAACTTTTGGGCCGCAACGGGCGATATAGCGGGCACAATTGTATGTAGCAGACCGCAATAGTGTGGGAGCAGTAACCCTAACCAGCGCCTCAGTGAAAAGTCGAGATGACGGACTAGAGGGGGTGAATAGTCATTTCTAAATTTAATCGCACTAGCTAATCGAAACAAATGTGGAATTAAAATAATCGGTCTAGCCAAGACTACACTCCTCTATCAAAGTTCACAAACACCTTATAAAGATCCTAATTAGGCAACAAAGATGCCGGGCTAGTTAGAGCTCACCTAAACAATTCTAGAAGCAAGTTCATACAAACCTATGCCACTAGTATTTTGCACACCGGGGAGCTCCTACACAATTCTATTAAGCAAAAGCACAAAGCTCTCAAGCTTATTAGCAATGCTCAATAACAAGGCAATCAATATCAAATTAGAGAGCGCAAATACTTAGCTACACAAACTAACCAATGTGACTAACAAGGTTACACAAATCAAATTAGCCACGCAAGGGAGCTACTTCTATGCTACACAAGCAAGAAGGTAACTAGTGAACTACACAAGCTAACTAATTACAAGAGTAACTACACAAGCACAATGTATATGAAAGTAATTATAAGCTTGTATAAGGGGATTGCAAACCAACGTGAAGAACAATGTTGACACGGTGATTTTCTCCCGAGGTTCACGTGCTTGCCAACACACTACGTCCCCGTTGTGTCGACCGCTCACTTGGTGGTTCGGCGGGTAATTGGGATCACCCGCCAAGCCCGCACGTCGGGTACCACAAGAATCTACCCCAAAAGTGAGGGTAGCTCAATGACATCATCAACTAGAGTTGCTTTTCGCGGCTTCCGCGGGGCGAGCACAATGTCCCTCACAAAGCTCTTCTCCGGAGCACCGCACAAGCTTCTTGCGGGCTTCGACGGAGACCACCACCAAGCCGTGTAAGAGGTGGCAACCTCCAAGAGTAACAAGCACCACCAGCTTGCAACTTGATCACCTAGTGCCACTCGATGCAACCTCACGATGCAATCGCACTAGAATCGCTATCTCACAAAATCGAATGACCACTATCAAATATATGTGAGATGGAGGGCTCCTAAGCACTCTCAAGTATGGACACAAAGTGCCCCAAGGTGCTCTGTCTCAGCCAAGGCTGAGACCCCTTCTATTTATAGCCCCCACGAAAATAGAGCCGTTGTACCCCTTTACTGGGCACTGCTCGAGGCGACCGGACGCGCCGGTCAGATCGACCGGACACACCCTACCAGCGTCCGGTCACGTTACGCCGTCCACGTGTCGCTCTGCGTTCAACTGGAGTCACACGACGACCGGATGCAGCACAACGAGGATGACCAGACGCTGCAACGCCTGAGTCCGGTCATTTCTAGAGAGATCCCCGAGCCTCTATTTTGCGACCGGACGCGTCCGCTCCTGCAAGACCGGAAGCAGACTAGCCAGAGTCCAGTCGTTTCCAGAGAGCTCCCCGAGCCTCTGTTTTGCGACCGGACGCGTTAGGTTGGTCGTGATCGGACGCAGCACCTGAGTCTAGTCCTTCACCGCCTGCCACGTGTCACTGCTGCTTCTCGCACCAAGACGTCAGCGTATGTCACGACCGATCGGACGTAGCCTCTGTGTGTCAGGTCACCGCTTCGCGCCAGCGTCCGGTCACATGACCGAGACCATGCGCTCAACTGCTGCCACTGACCGGATGCGCCGGCCTTGCCGAGGCCAGCGTTCGGTCACTCAAAGTGACCTCTTTTCGCCTCCTTTTCTTCACCGAGTTGATCCTCATCAACTCTAACTTCTTCTCCTTTGCAAATGTGCCAACACCACCAAGTGTACACCACCATGTGTATGTGTGTTAGCTTTTCACAAACATTTTCAAAGGATTAGCCAGTCAACTTGCCACGCCACTCGATCCTAACGATGATGCAAAGTTAGATCACTCGAGTGGCACTAAATGATCGATATGCAAACAAGTTTGCCCCTCTTGATAGTACGACCATCTATCCTAAACCCGGTCATCAACTTCTCTACACACCTATGACCGGTGAAATGAAATGCCCTAGGTTATACCTTTGCCTTGCGCATTCCATTCCATCTCCTCCAATGTTGATGCAACACATGCACCAACATGATCAATAATGATATGATCCACTTCATATCATCACGTGATCATATTGGTTCATTGATCTTGACTTCACTTGCTCTTCACCGTTGTCTCGGTCCATCGGCGCCAAGTCATCACTCAACTTACCCTTCACACTTGCAACCGGTCCGTCGAGCCAAGTCATGTCTTGATCTTCTCCACCTTGATCACATGACTCAATGTCATGTCTCATGTGCAATGAGCTCCTTCATTATCACATGTGTGAGCTTTGCAACATCTCCGAGCCATTTCCACCTTTATGGCATATGTTGCTCACACACATGTACCCGTGGACTAATTACCTGTATCTCACATAAACACAATTAGTCCACCTAGGTTGTCACTCAATTACCAAAACCACACAAGGACCTTTCAATATCCCCATTTTTGGTAATTGATGATAACTCTATAAAGATATGAAAATTAAGCTCTTTTGGATTCATGTTGCTTGCCCAAGCAACTTTACCACGTGTAAATGATTTTGGACAAGTACCACAATCCCAAAATGGTAGTATTAGCTCCCCCTACATATGTGCTAGAGTGTTTGGTTTGAAACTCGCACATATGCATAGATTGGAATTGTGGGAGAGTAATTACTACCAAATGATGCTAAGGTGTATAGAATAAACCTTTAAAGTGTGATATCAATTGGAGTTGCACTTTTAACACCATCCTTAGCACCATGAGTAGCTAGACAACAAAAATACTAGAAACCCCGTGAGATCAACGTTATAAACAAGTTTCTAGTACCACGTGTAAAAATACAAGTCTAGCTACCATCCTATGCATGCTAGTTATCAAATTATCATTTAAGTTCTACAACTAGCATACACCACACAAGCATGCATATCAAATTTAAAAAAATTATGCAATGCAAGCAAGCACATGACTATGCACATTTCAAATGCAACTAATCAAAGTTCATGAGCTTGCTCCCCCTACTTGTGTGCTTCTCTTGTCCAAGAATTTTGATCTATCTCTTTTCTTCAATGTTGCTCCCTCTTTGTTCATGTCCATGTCCAACCTCTACTTCTTTTCTTCAATGTCTCCCAAAGCTTTCATATCTTTGTACAATCTCTCCCCCTTTGTTATCAATTTCCATAAAAGGTGTGCTTCTCATTGATGCAAAGATTTGCATTTGGGGTAGATGTTTAAAGCTTGAATCTTGCATTTTTTATGGACATCACTTGATTATTAGAATGACACTACTTGTAGCCCTTGAGATACCACACATAGGATATTTGACCTTGA